CCTCGCGGTTCCAGGGGCTCCGGCGGGGGCTTTGATGGGGGGGGGGGCTTTTAATGACTTCTGACTCTGAGGGCCATCAAGAGTACTGAAGGATCTCCGAGTCTTCCCGTAAAGTTCTCTAATCCTGCCAGTGTGTCTGGAACAGATGCCGGGAGAGGGAACTTGTAGCCTTTCATCTGTGTGTGTCCCGGTATTAGATGTCCTCCATATGATAGGAAAGTCAGGACGCCAAAGAGTGAACCAACAAAACCACGGCCAAGTTAAACAACAGCTCTGATGTTTTCTTGCATTTGGGGTAGATGCAGTGGTGTAACAATCACCATAGCGACACATGGGGGCCCGGCCAGGACATCCCCCTGATGCCGTGCGGGCCGTCTGGGTCGCTATGGCATCTCAGGCTGCTGGCTGTCGCTGGCGGCTGTGAGGAGCAATCGGGCCCTGCCTCCCCATCTCTGCCGATGATGGAGGAGGCTGGGCCTGCAAGCGATCGTGGAGAAGAAGGAGGCGGACAGAGGATCGGAGCAGATAGGTAAGAGGGCTGGACCGCCCACCTGAGACCCTGCAGAGCCCACCACAGAGAGTCTATGGCGGGCCCTGCATGGTCACCCTCAGGTGGGCTGAGTGGGATCTCAGGTGGGCTTAACTAGAAATCACAGGGCCCCATACAAAATTTTTGCTGTGGGGCCCTGTGATTTCTAGTTACGCCCCTGGGTAGATGTAAATCCTAATGACAACATTTGGTTTTCTAAATCACTACATATTATAAATAATTACCAAATACTTGTATTGACTTTTACATCTTAGTGATGCGGATCTTCTCAGCCTCTTTGCAACCACGTCATGTCTGCGTGATATCCAGCATTGGGCTGCATGGTATTTCTCAGGGAGAGCTTCCTGATGGTGACAACAGTAGACCAACCATATCTACTCAATGAGGGTCAACACAGCTGGGTGTAGTCTCCATTGGGAGGGTGGGTGACAACACGAGAGCACAACTGGGAGATATGGATGGAGCATTGTCACCCTATAACAGGAAGTGTCTGAGAATAGACCTTCGTGGCAGGATCACCATTATTTTAATTAAAGCTGCAGATTCAAAACTACTGAGCATGATGTTCGAAATGACATTAATGTGTTAAAGCTTCAATCAGATTTTAGTGATTGGGTTTGCTTTGAACCAAACAGGTCATCAAAGGCCGATGTAAGCCGTCATTGATGACCTCATGAAAATGCTTGTTGCCTGCCATGCTAGCCCTCTGATTATCATTTGAGTCGCAATTTCTGAACGAGGTCACAGTAATATCAGAGCTCCGGCTCTATACACCTGATCTGGATCATTGGAGTCAAACTATTAAAGCTAAAAGAAAAAGCAAGAAAGCCAGAGAACTAGCATTTTACAAAGGAGGTAATGTACAAATGTCTGTGAAGAGTTCTTCAGCCTGTACACCCGGTGTACCCATTATGAGGGGTTCACACCATTGCTGTGCTGAGATCCCGGGTCTGTACACTCGCTGTGCCCATTATGAGGAGCTCCCATCATCCCTGTGCTGAGTTCCCGGGTCTGTACACCCACTGTGCCCATTATGAGGGGGCTCCCACCGTCCCTGTGCTGAGTTCCTGAGTCTGTACACCCGCTGTGCCCATTATGAGGGGCCCCCACCATCCCTGGCTGGCAACACCTGGATTTCCTAGGACAAAACAGATCCGGGAATTATGGTTGGGACTGACTCGTTGCACCTATACCCAATACATGACTTTTTGGTGGGCAGAGCTTCCACATCTACAACAGGACAGATGTGTGTATTAGTCGCGGATTCTATACACAGCTGTGAACATTTTTAGCAGCCATTTCACATAATGGAACTCCTTCATCGGCTACCAATTGTCTTCAGATTCTGAAAAGCTTAAAATCCAAACAAAGGGGCGAGGGGGGGGGCCTTGGATTGAAGAGAGACGGGAGACACTAACAATTGACATTTTATTGAGACGTGTGTAGTGATAATACTGAAAACTGCCGAGGCAACAAATTAAATACGTTAAAAATTAACCGAAAAACACATAACTTTATATACAAAGAGAAATGACAGAACATACGCAGTGCAAACGATGAGCAATGTTAACATGAGGTGACGAGAGACGTGACACAATACCCGAAATCCTCTCTGCTAATTAATTCATACAGGAAGTGACCTTTCCATTACAAAGTGTACCTGTCACCTAAACACAATGGGGGCGTCCCGCAGGTACAATTAATTTCCAGAAGGCGGCAACCTCGCCGGCCTACGTGCTGCCGCCACGTTCACAGTGAATTGAAATCCAACGGGCTGCCTTCAATGGCTGCATGCTCAGGTGCACATTGAAAGCAGAACCCCCGATTCCAAAGAAATGTCACTCAGTTGCCTGAATAACTGGCATTGTTCCCATAAATTCCCAGTTGTGGGCCCAGTATCGGAACCCTCTTCATCTGGGGGGCTTGCGGAGCCTACAAGATGCTGAACCTATAAAGGTGCTGGTATGTCTGCGAAGGTTCCCATTGCTCCAGGTCCTGGTATAGCTAGTCATAGTTGGTCACATTCAATTGGACTTGTTCTGGAATGTTGAATACATTGTGTAACTGATCCAATACACTTCCGTTCCTATGAGTGTCAGGAAGACACCCCGCCATTTATATCCACCCGGGTAGCACAGGCACCTTCATCCGGTCACTATGGAATGTTACTTGTCCAAGGAAAAGGGACATTCTTTTGGGGACAGGGAGGTTCACATTTTGGACAGAGATGACAACCGGTTCATAAGGGGCCATCTACGTCAAACTGAAACCAACCCTGAGCAGGGGCGCGGGCCTTCACCACCATCCGCCTTCCACATAAAATGTCATTTCATCATCTCTACCCACCAAGTGATTTCTCAATTTGCACCGTCAGCCATGAAAATTGAAATATTACCAGACATCCATGCACCAAGGATGGGATTATGTATCTTGAACAAGGCGATTCCCACAATTTTCACACCGCCCATGCTGTTTTTGGACGATCATTGTCTTCAGTGACACATCCTATGGTGCTTGGATTAGGGGTGTCCATGCTACCCGTGTGGATATAAAGACTGGTGTATGTTCAAAAAGAAGAAATGGAGGGTTAATAACTGCTTCAGTCAAAGGCCCGATTCGATTCCCATTGAAATGTTGTGGCAGGATTTTAAGGGGTCATTCACACTGTCTTCATCTTCTTTCTGAATATCCCTAAGGCCTGGTTCACACCTGTACGTTTTGTAGCGCGTTCAACGCTCTACAAAACGCTTAAAACATGAAAATCCCATTGTTTTCTATGGGTATGGTTCAAACCTTGCCGTATTTCAGCCTGTCTGAACGTGCTACAAAACGGCCTACGCCTGAAAAGGTACAGGAGCTTCTTTGCGGCGTTTTTGTCGCGCGTTTCCATTGGGATACAGCCAAGTAGCCCTCGGAAACGCGAGTTTGTCGCGCGTTTTTTTTAACCGTTTTTTTACCACGAAACGCGCATATTCGATACGCCCAGGTGTGAACAGAGCCTCAGTCTTTATAGCCACAAGGAAGTGCAGGCTCGGGGGTCAGCGTGCAACGGCATGCAGGCGCATCCATAGGGGGTACAGGCTGCTGCATGCAATGACATGCAGCAACTGTCCCTCCCAGAATCAGGTCTCTGCACAGGCCCGCACGCTCAGGTAAATGACCCCTGAAATGGTCAGTGCAAATAAGGAGACCCAAAAACGTCTTGCAGCGGAAGGCATTTTGAAGGGAAGAGTGGTCAGAAATGTCTACGTTGATGTCAAAGACTTGTGGGGCAGTCATAGAAAAAGACTACAAGCTGCTACCCGCTTCTGCTGCCTAGGGCGTACTTACTTTTTCCACTGTACACCATGCTATCTATTGATATCTTTGTTGAATAAATAACGGCAGTAGATCCCAGCTGTGGGCAATGTTTAAATGAAAATCCGCCTGTTCATAACATGTTGAAAAAAATCAACAGTTTCCACGGGGTGTACTTATTTTTTTCACGCGGCTGTGGGCCGCTGTCGCCCAGAGTTCCCGTTGAACTCAAGTGGTATGAAGTTCAGTAAACTTTTCTAAGCCCATTTCTGCGTCTTACTTGCAGCCCGTTATTAGAAGCCGTCTCCGCCCCCCCAACCATCGCTCCGTCTGTTATAGGTGAGCGATGAAGGACGATCCATCATACAGAGAAGGTTCTGGCAGCTCTGGAGACTTTGTATACTTTCCCTTTCGCAGCCCGACGCGCGCGGCACACGGCGACATTTACAATTACAGCTCTCTCAGGGCCGGCGTGAAAGATGAATGGCGCTGAAGCGCGCGGCGTGATTACAAAGTCAGGATAACCGATTTCAATGACATTATAGCAAAAATAATTATATATTTTTTTTCTGGCGTGATGAGAAAAAGCCTCTCGCTCTCAGCGCGTTGCATATTTCATGAATGCCTTGCGGGGATTATAAGACATCCGAAAAGCCCCTCCGAGCAAGATAAAATAAAACCACATTCAACGAGCGGGGACACCGAGTCATACGGTAAAGAGCACCTGTCACCAAGTACTGCCACTTTGTGGGCTCAGGAGTCAGTCTATCAACCCGCCAGCAGTATACGACACCGATTCAGGAGAAGTGATGTCACCAGCATCTAATGAACTGATGGTAGAAATCTACCGTTTTTTCGGGATCGAGTACCAGTACTTTGCTTTCGGTACTCGCCGAGTGCCGATGCATCCTGGGCAGTCAGGAAGCCAGGCGGCGGGTAATGACATGCCACCCGCCTTCCCGATTGCCTAGGAAGCCGGTACATCTTGTTTGGCTGGCTTGATTTTGATTGCTTATCAGCCAATCATCCGGCTTCCCGGCCAATCAGGAAGCCAGGGGGGCGAGTAATGACCCACCTCCCAGCTTCCTGATTGGTCGGGAAGCCGGCTCGATGCTGATTGGCTGGGAAGTCAGTTTCCTGGCCAATCAGGAAGTCGGAAGGTGGGTCATTACTTGCCACCCAGCTTCCTGATTGCACAGGCAGCTGGCTCCATGTTCCCCCTACAGCACTGCTGGTCAGAGGAAATCTCTTCCGGCAGCTAAGCATGTGGGCAAGTACCCGCCCAAATACTCGGTATCGGCACCGATACCAATACTAGTATCGGTGTATCCCTATTGCAATCTCATATTGGTCAAACCCGTAAAGCTGCTGCCTAAAAGTGACAGGGGCACCTAAAGGAATGATGCAAAAGCCTCCGATGCAAGCGGCTGATCTCCAACTCCTGTTCTGTGACAGTGGTCCTAGACCAGGATAGTTTCAGCACATGTGATGTCAGGAACCAGGACAGGCCTGGCATTCATTTCTAAATTGCATCTCCTTTAAAGCCAACAAATGTCCAAAATGGAGAACGTCTGGCCTTGGTTGCAGACGGCAGCACTTTAGTTCAGCCCGGATGTATCAAACTCAAAGAATATATGATGTCACCTTGCACTCCACAGTCTGTGACGTTCTATGGTCCAGGAGCTCCATTGTAGCTTAGAGCGCCGTTCTTAAAGAACAACACATCATGCCACGTACGGGGCCCCCTACACATCCACATACAGCTTCTGGTTCCAGTCTAAGCCACATCATTGATATTTAGATTATTGGCCCAAAACATCTGAACAGGCATAGAAGAGCCATCGGTGGAGATGCTACGGCCTTGTTCAGTGTCAGGCCCAGCTGAACAGCCAGGAACCCTGAGGAACTATCCAGGAGATGAATGAGATGGCAAGGGGTGAGGTGGACCAAGGAAAGCCTATGAGAAAATCTGCTCAATGGTTACACGGAGGGCTGCAAATGCTAAAAGATCGTAGTGGTTGCACCAGCCACCCTCCAAGCATAGCCACAGATCTACAATGATGGTTGTTCACTAGAAATCATCACCTCGATTTGAGTTGCTTGGACATCTCATTCCCAAACCTTGGCCATTAATATGCAGTTGCCCCCTTTGGGGCTGTAACCGTCCCCACTCTTCTGGGAAGGCCTCCCATAAGATTTTGGAGGGTCTGTGGAAATTTAAGTCCATTTGTGAGGTCAGGTGCTGATGTTGGATAAGAAGATCTGGCTCACAATCGGCATTCCAGGTGCTCGGTAGGGTTGAGTTCGGGGCTCTGTGCAAGACACTCAAGTTCCTCCACACCCAACTCTTTATACCATGGTGGATGAGAAGACCGAGCATGCAATCTGGTTCCAATTCACCCCAAAGGTGCTCAGTAGGGTTGAGGTCGGGACTCTGTGCAGGACACTCGAGTTCCTCCACCAAACTGGTCACACCATGTCTGTATGGAGCTGGCTTTGTACACAGGGGACAGTCATGGTGGAATAGAAAATGGTCTTCACCAAACTGTGACCACAAGGCTGGACACCAAGCTAAAATCAATCCCTGTGCCAAAGTGTAAATCACAGAGAGAGAGGAACATGCCCGAAGGAGTCCATCCTCCTAAGGGCAGCTAATACCCCAGCAGTCCTCCCAGGACACAGGGGAGGGGGATCCTCCCAGGACACAGGGGCGGGGGATCCTCCCAGGACACAGGGGCGGGGGATCCTCCCAGGACACAGGGGCGGGGGATCCTCCCAGGACACAGGGGAGGGGGATCCTACACCCCCCCAGGCCAAAGGGCCGGGGGATCCTCCCAGGACACAGGGGAGGGGGATCCTGCCAGGACACAGGGGAGGGGGATCCTCCCAGGACACAGGGGGATCCTCCCAGGACACAAGGGTGGGGGTTCCCCCGAGGACACAAGGGTGGGGGTTCTCCCGAGGACACAGGGATGGGGGTTCCCCCGGGGACACAGGGATGGGGGTTCCCCCGGGGACACAGAAAGGAAGTACAAGGGGACAGTCAGGGAACGGCTGGTGTGGGCACATTTGTGGTGCTGGATGAGTGGTCCCCCACACACCCAGAAGCAATGCACCCCCCCCCCCCCTGGACAAGTACCCTGGACAATGGACGTAGCCGAGTATATTCATACTTCACAAGGCAAGAGTAAATATGTCCAGGATAGCTTAGAGAGGGTCGGGAGGGTTGGACGGGGTTTACATTTAGTAGCCAGTAGATGGAATGCGTGCTGTGGGTCGCGCCTTCAATCCTTCACCTCAATAACAACAAAACAGACAACTAAAGACAATAGAAATAAAAAAAAACGGAGCAGACCGCTCCTGGGGGAGGCCGCCATTTTGTAGGATGCGCAGAAACGGCGTTTGCTAGGAAGCGTTGACATTGCGCAGTCACCGGCTGGAGTGAAGCTGAACTCTATGCCCAGCCATCGTGACTCACGAAGCTCTTACATCATATCATCTGTCACCACTGTATCAAACTACACTTCCCATCATGCAATGCGAATCAGCACCTTCAACAGTCATGAATGTGAGCGCTTAGGATGTCTGCCTGTCAATCAAATTAGGAAGTGAGGGCGGGCAGGACAAGCCGCGGATCTGAGATGGCCGGATCCTCCTCCTACAGCGCATGACCCCGCCGCTGCTAGAAATAAACTACTATGGGGGATGTTACAGGACCGGACTAGGGGGCGGCCATAGGGGGTACCGGTCTTACATACAGGAAGTTGGGGACACCGAGCCCTGGGAATGCTGAATCCAAAGAGCGGCTGCTGCACGGTTTGGATAAAGACGCCATATTTGTAGAACGGACATACAGAACAGCGACAGCCGGAGTTCAGCTTTAACACCGGAGAATCAAAGCAAACAGATGGAGAATTAAAGGACGTGCTCTTGTAAGATGGCTGCCCGCGGAGGGCAACATTTCAGTCTGTACTGGTCAAAGACTCGGCCTACCAGCGGCTCTTCACGGGACAAGGAACATACACACAGTGGATGTGACACGGACTAGTCCCTCCCTTGTTCTCATGCGGCCCCCTTCGTAGGACAAGCAGCGGCAGATGTCGGCATAGGAAGCGTAGTCTTGGCGCAGGATGTGACCGGAGGTACGGATAGGAGGGGGGGGGGAGGGGGCCAGCGGTGGAGAAATCAACAGAAATCCGTCTTTATCGTGGCAGAACCCCATAGCGAGGCCTTGGAAAGCTCGATCGTCCATTTTAGGGGGCGACTGCCGAGGTTAAGCTCCCTTATAAATTCAAAGGTCAAGGGGTGGGGTAAGGGGGGGGCGGCTGGATCAGGAGGTCATATAGTGCTGCCTGAGGCGTGCTTGGAGGAATTCGTGCGTCAAGTTGTGCCGCGTAATGATGCCAACGATATGGGGAAAAGCCTTAAACCCATAGTTCTCCTTTAAATATCACATATAATGTAAAATAAAAAACTAGGGATGCACCGGTACCGGTTTTTCAGTATCGAGCACCGATATTTTATTTTTTTGGGTACTCGCCGATACCGAATACCGACACCGGAAGTCCCATTAAGGAAACCAGGCGGGGTGTAAATGACTTGCCCCCCAACTTCCTGATTAGCAGGGAAACCGTCTCCATGCTCCCTGGTAATGAGACAGCATGGGGCCGGCTTCCCGGGCCAATCAGGAAGCCAGGCAGCGTGTAACGACTCGCTACCCAGTTTCCTGATACCGGAAGCTTTAAGTATCAGGCCCGGCATCGGAGCATTTGGGCGAGTACGAGTTCTCGCCGAAATACTCGGCATCGATACTAGTATCGGTATCAGTGCAATCCTAATAAAAAAAAAAACGTATAAAAATAATAATGACAAATGTATTGATACATAACCTCAGATGGCGCTCACTGAATTGCTCATAAGCGGTTTGTGTTGGCGTTTGCTGCCCCCTACTGGACATAACACAGTACAGCAAACATGGGGGAGACGTGCTACGGATTGATCACATGGTGAGGTCGGACGGCTGCACTTACCTCTCCTACGCCGTTGACCACAGGGAGATGTCTGAGCCCCATGGTTCTGAAGAGGTTAAAGACCTGCGAGATGGGCGTGTTGGGTGACACGTTGAAGGGACTCGGGTTCATGTAAGGAGTGACATCCTGAAATGGACAGAAAGCACACAGCACATAAAAGGTCCCACCAATCGTATAGGGCAGCACAGAGACCAAATGATGACATCACCGGGCCTAAAATAAGGTAGCTAATGAAAAGATTTTATATACAAAATATCAGCATGTTAAGGAAGGGGGACCTGAAATGGACAGAAAGCACACAGCACATAAAAGGTCCCACCAATCGTATAGGGCAGCACAGAGACCAAATGATGACATCACCGGGCCTAAAATAAGGTAGCTAATGAAAAGATTTTATATACAAAATGTCAGCATGTTAAGGAAGGGGGGGAGGTGGTGGTGTGGTGGTGGTGGGTAGTGCAGCAGCATATTCTCCAGGTCATTCTATTCACATATCCATCCCAGATAGGGTGACACTCGCAGACAGGTTCACTTTAAATGTAAAGCAACAAGTTCGCTTGAAAGCTGATCCCATGCAGCTGCCTATAGGGGAGCCACAGTGGCCTGGCTATGGCTATAGCAGCCCAGGCGACTGCTATGGGTCCTGGGGGTGGAAGGGGGCCCCCCATTGGGTTGTTGAGACAAATTAAACATGGAAGATGTGAAGATAATACCAGTACTGCGTCATTGAGGGTCGGGGTGGTTGCAGTTGATGACAACTCTAATCCCATGTAAAGTCTACAGGGCAGAGACGACTTCAGAAGCACAAGAGAAGAATTTTGGGGTCTTGGCATCGTTACTCACAGCTCAGAAAGAAAGTAATCAGGGCCCCCCCCCATCACATTTTTGCTTTGGGACCCCATGATCTGCAGCTCCAGCCGAGGGGAGCGTGTGACTGTCCCTATCCTCCCACGTGACAATGCTCAGCGATTGCCCACTAAGGCACCGGCACCGTTACATGGGGACAGTTCTCAGGCATGTGTATGCTCCGGCTTGGATTGAATTAGAACTTTACACAGGGCTTCTCCTCCTCCCTCCCAGGGGTGAACGTAGAGATGGAGGAGGGAGGTTTATGCAGCTGTGGGTGGAGACGGACTCTATAGAACAGAGCCGTGTAAATAAATGTTACTTCCTACAATTCCTTTTCTTCTTTTTCTACTCACCACAATCATCCGCGGATTGAGGAGCGTCAGGTTGACGTCATGGATGTCGGGGTAACGCGGGTAATCCTCCAACATCTCTGCGTGGCTGAGGCGGGGCTGGCTAGCACTCTGAAACATTAAAAACAATCTATTAAACTAGGGATGCACCGATACCACTTTTTTAAGACGGAGTACGAGTACCGATACTTTTGCTCAAGTACTCGCCGATACCAATTACCGATACTTTTTCTTAAAGGGACAGGTCACATTTTTTCTAAAGCAATAGAAACTAATGCTTTAAGGTCACTTTCTTAATATTATGATTCATGAGATGACGAGGGAGCATGACGCCGGCTTCCCGGCCAATCAGAATGCCAAAATGCCTCAAGATAGGCAGAGCCAGCTGTCAGTCACGCAGCTGGGCAGATCCCGGCACAATTGTCGGGATCTGCTCCGGCTGCGGCGTCTCAGTATATAGGGAGCTGTAGCTCGCGGTATACTGAGCTTAGGGTGACGGGAGGACGCTAGTTTGTGTCCTCCCGTTAGCCTAAGTAGAACTATGGGGAAAAGCCTTAAACCCATAGTTCTCCTTTAAATATCACATATAATGTAAAATAAAAAACTAGGGATGCACCGGTACCGGTTTTTCAGTATCGAGCACCGATATTTTATTTTTTTGGGTACTCGCCGATACCGAATACCGACACCGGAAGTCCCATTAAGGAAACCAGGCGGGGTGTAAATGACTTGCCCCCCAACTTCCTGATTAGCAGGGAAACCGTCTCCATGCTCCCTGGTAATGAGACAGCATGGGGCCGGCTTCCCGGGCCAATCAGGAAGCCAGGCAGCGTGTAACGACTCGCTACCCAGTTTCCTGATACCGGAAGCTTTAAGTATCAGGCCCGGCATCGGAGCATTTGGGCGAGTACGAGTTCTCGCCGAAATACTCGGCATCGATACTAGTATCGGTATCAGTGCAATCCTAATAAAAAAAAAAACGTATAAAAATAATAATGACAAATGTATTGATACATAACCTCAGATGGCGCTCACTGAATTGCTCATAAGCGGTTTGTGTTGGCGTTTGCTGCCCCCTACTGGACATAACACAGTACAGCAAACATGGGGGAGACGTGCTACGGATTGATCACATGGTGAGGTCGGACGGCTGCACTTACCTCTCCTACGCCGTTGACCACAGGGAGATGTCTGAGCCCCATGGTTCTGAAGAGGTTAAAGACCTGCGAGATGGGCGTGTTGGGTGACACGTTGAAGGGCCTCGGGTTCATGTAAGGAGTGACATCCTGAAATGGACAGAAAGACCACACCACAGAACAGG